CCCACAGTAAAACCATAGCCATCTGTGTCTATATTAGGCTACGGTTTTGGCGACAGATCTTTCTGTCGGGCAATTCATGCCAAATTTGCAGCAAAAACCGCCACAAAACTTGCAGCGCAGCAAGATCTGCGCGGTTTCTACCGCTAATCTGCCGTCAAATCGCTACAAGCTCTGCGCAGTTTTTGCTGCAAATCTGTAGCAATTATCCGACAACAAGCTCTGCCGCATATCTGGCGGCAATTTGGCAGCAAGATTTGATATAACAGACCCTGCATCAAATTTGTTATCTATTTGCCATCAAAAGTTGATAGCAAGCTCTGTTCGAAATCTGTTCGCGCAGGTTTGGCTATCTGGCCGATTAATATAAAGTAATTATTTACAAAGTTAAAGATACTTAATCATTTAAATACTGTATTTAAATAAGATACAGATTTAAATAAATATCTTAGATACTTTAAAATACGTATTTGTCCAACCTTGTATATAGGACAACGCGTCCTGTTTACCTACTCTTGCGAAACTAACTTTTTATTTTGACATATACACACCTTGTAGTGCTATTTGCTTTGCGAACATTCGCTGCATAAACTCTACCTGTTCTTGATACATTCAATATACAAATATAGATCTGTTCATAAATTCGGCAATTGAAAAACATATGAACAGAAATAATTTATTGTTGGGATAAATGTTTTAGAATCATATAAGGCAGCAGTGGAAAAAGTTAAGCTGGCCCAAAATATTTCTGATATAGATGCTGTTAGTGAGGAACAATATAAAAAAAGCAAACATGATCGAGCTAAAGTAAATAAGGATACAGATAGCGAATCTTCTGATGACTCCACAAAAAAGAAAAAAGAGAAATCAAAAACTTTGCCAATATTTCCAAAGGTCCCCAATTTGATTTCTTCACCAAAACCTTCAACATGTAAACCAGCTATAACAAGTGTTTCTATCATACATGAACCGAGACAACCAGATTATTACGAGAGCTTTGTTGAAAAGGAATATTTATTCGCTGCGAAAAATATTAAACAGGAAAAAATTAAAAACAAAGCAACGACATCCATTACAAGAACTCCATCTACATTAGTAGCACAATCAAAAATGAATGTATTATCAAATATCACAAATGTAGAGCACATACATAAAAACATATTATCAGATAATTTGGAGGAAGATACAGGTATGTATATATAGATATGAATGTAGGGGGTAACTCTTGAATTCCGGTGTGCAACTCATCAGAAATCCATTAAATTCTTTTAAAGTGTGATGAAGTCCGGTAAAAGCCGATGAAGTTAGACGAAGTCTGATAAATTCTGCTAAAGTCCGGTGAAGTTCAATGAAGTTTTCAAATCCAAAGTTCAAGTGTGCACCACCTATTTTCTGAGTGGTTATACCCCCTCGGTATAAATATATGTTTTGTATTCATAATTTTCTTGCTATTACGTCATTTTACAAAATCAGGCTTAGAGAATTCCTCAATTTCGACAATAAATAACACTCAAGCATCAACGCTTTCATTATTGGATTGTAATAAAGAAATGGATTCATTGTATAAAATGGAAAAAAAATGGAGGCAAAGAAGGAGGAAACCTCAGAAATAATAGGTCTGTTAACATTTTACATTAAATTTTTATATCTACAAAATGTATATTATTAATATATATTAAATATATATA